GTGACTGAGAAAGACAAAATTTTATCTAGGGTATTCCAATCTAATGATGATGGAGAAAACATTAAGTTATAAGGTATAAATGGAGTATGAAATTAGAATCACAAAACCATAGATTCATAGAGTGGTTTGGGGCACCTTTCACTAGAGTAGGTTGCTCAAAGCCCTCATCCAACCTGACTTTGAACACTTCCAATGATGGGGCATCCACAACTTCTCTGGGCAACCAGTTTCTGTGCCTTGCCAGCCTCATTGTAAAAAAAAAGTCAATCTAAATCTACCCTCTTTCAGTTTAAAACCATTTCCCCTTGTCCTGTTACTACAGCCCTTGGTGAAAAGTCTTTGTCTTTCTTATAAGTCCCTTTTGCATATTGAAAGGCCACCATAAGGTCTCCCTGGAACCTTCTCTTCTCCAGGCTGAACAACCCCAACTCTCTCTGTCTTTTCTCATACGAGAGGTGTTTTATCCTTCTGATCATCTTTGTGGCCCTCCTCTGAACTCATCTAACAGGTCCATGTCCTTCTTGTGCTGAGGACCCCAGAGCTGGACTGCTCCAGATGAGGTCTCACCAGAGCAGAGTAGAGGGGCAGAATCACTTCCCTCAACCTGCTGGCCATGCTGCTTTTTATGCAGCCCAGGGTATGATTGGCTTTCTGGGCTGCAAGCTCACACTGCTGGCTTACACCTAATTTTTCATCCACTATCATCCCCAAGTCTTTTCTCTGCAGAGCTGCTCTCAATCAATTAATCAGTTCAGTGTTAATAAATACATAGAAATTAATGTGACAAAAAATAATTTGAACTATATAACAAGATCAAAGAACCCGTGAGAACAGACAAATAATAGTAATGGGAGAGTCCAATTATCATAGATTGGCTAAATAACATGTTTATTGAATACCATATTTAGTTCTTGACATCTCTGAAGGAATACTGTAGATTACTTTGCAGAAACAGAAAAAGTACATAAGTGTTATCAGAAGTATGAGATCTATAGGAAGAGACACTAATTACCATGGAATTCTTCAGCTTGGAAAAAGAAACAACCCAGACATGATTTGACAGAAGTTTGTAGCATATCAAACAGGAGATGGTGAGTAAGGAATGAAGGTTTATCAGTTATCCTAAAACAAAAACAAAGGAGCAACTTAGCATGCAACTGGCACAAAATGAGTCCAGGAAAATATGGGTATTTTTTTCTTTGAATGTTTTTATTTATAGACAAATTGATTGATGCTTTACTATCAGACATCAGACATTATGAAGCCAAAAATTAAGTGGTTTTAGAAAGGGATTAGTTGAATCTCTAAAGGCCAGAGCATTTAGAGATTCTTAGAAATTCTCCAGCAATTGTTCCTTGAGGCCTTGGAGGGCTTTCCACTGCAGGCTTCCTTTTCTAGCAAACCATTCAGCCTCATTTTCCTTTCTTAAGTAAATGACAACCCCCAGTCTAGCAGAAACAGAACATACCAGTTCAGCATGGATCTTAATTAGAACTATTGAGGTAACATTATACTTACTACCCTAATCCCATACAAATTCAAGTAATATATTTCTGGTTGAGAAAGATTATGATAAGAGAATAATAATCTTTTCACTTCAGAGCAACAAATTAAAAAATGCCTACTGTTAAAACACAGGCAGAATCTTTGAACACAGGCAGAATCTTTGATGTTTAAGCATATGTGACAGTTTAACTTAGCTGGCAGCCAAACAAGACACAGCCACTCACAGCCTTCCCCCCACCCGTCCCCTTCCCCCCTGCCCCAGGGAATCGGGGAGAGAATTGGAGGTGAGGAGACTTGTAGGTTGAGATAAGAACAATTTAATAATTAGAGTAAAAATAAAATTAAAGTAATAAGAATAATAAGAGTAATAATGATAACAACTATATATATGAGTGATGCAGAGTACAATTGCTCACTACCTGCTGATAACAATCCCGGAGAGGCAAAATGGAACCCTGAAACTGAAATCGCAATCCTGGAAAAGCGAGCCCGAGCAATTCCTGAGAGAATCCCCGCCCCCCCTTTCAGGTCAGAACCGGTTAATATACTAAACATGATGTAATATGCTATGGAATATCTTATTGGCATATCCAACTGTCAGTTCTGGGTTTTACTAACTACTATACTTCTCCACTCCCCGCTTCCAGTCCTCTGTTCTTGGAAACTGCCCAAGCACAGTGTTCTTATAGTTATCAACACTGTTCTCATAACAATCCTCACTGAAAGCAAAACACACACACAGTGCTTTCTAGCACCCTATCCTAGCAAAAGCCATGACAGCATACAATAAGGAAAGGGTTGCAATGATTTCATAGCTGTATATTAAAGTAAATAGAGAGTTGTAAAATATGATTTACAGTATTAATTGAAATGCCTTCCTCTCATTTTTTGTCTAGATAGAAAACATCAGTGAATGATCACTCAGATATACAGGCTGAGGGAATAGAACTACTTAGTGGGAAGCCCTACAGAGAGGAGCATGTCATAATTGGCTCCTGAATCATCTGAATGATGATTCCTCTCCTGCATATCAGTACCTAGCACTGGGGAAGGC